CGAAGGGTAAAACTTATGCTCTTAACTTGCTTATTCTTTTTCTTCCTTCTCTCTAAAAAATTAATTACAATTTTTCAATTTTCTATGTTTTCATTTATTCATTTATCATGTACACGCACGTATATATTACTTTTTAATACATTCTTTTTTATATAGGTTCACTATGCCTCTTGGCCAATCTTCTTAAGAATATAAAAAATGGCCTTATAAGACTTGCAATCAACCTACCCTTCTCATTAGACCTTAAAATATCATTCATAGCATAACGTCGAAAATTATATGACGACTAATAAAATCTCTTTAAAAAAATGAAAAACAATTGACCAGAAAAATTTTGTGTCATGTTGCATGTCAACCCACAAAACACGACATTGAACAATATTTTTGTGGTTGATTATGTTTTTTACTAGCAGATTATTCATTTCACATCATGTGTCATTAAATGGTATTATTTTTAATTAATGAAAGTATTATTTATTACACAAATTATTCGTGTCATGTCGTGTCAATCAATATAATAAGCGAGTTGTGTAAATGTTGAGAACACATAGATTTGAGGTTAGCAGGTTATTCATGTTGTGTCATATCAGCCTGCAAAATGAGTAGGTCGTATTTGAGTTAAAGGTTTCGACAAGAATTTTGTTCGTGTCATGTTTAGGTTTAGTGTATTTGTACTTGTGTCCAACCTTGACTTGACAAGAACAGAATCCACTGACATGAATATCATATAGGGTTTTGGCGTGGAGAATAGAATTTTGTTAGTGCCACGTAGGAGAAGACGTTAGAGTATTGCTCACGTAAGTGGTTAGTATGGTTAGTGAGTTACAATTGTCAGGGAGGGAAACTTGTTGTGTATAAATAAGCAAGTGTGCAAATGTAAAAGATATTTTAATAATAGTTATCTTAGTTCTTTTTGTATTTGTTCCTTTTCTCTTAGGTTTTATTTGGATGTTTGGAGGGGAAAGGAAGGAAGAAGATCCAAGGGGGAGGGAGGGGAAGGAAAATGAAGGGTATCCGCTTCCCCTTTTTATGGGAGTTAAAAATATGACAAGAGAGAAAAATGAAATTTTATTGAGATATTTTTAATTTTACATTTTTTAATAAATTTAATAAAATTATTATATTTTACAAATAAAATTAAATTTAAAATTTCTAAAAAATTATTTATGTTCTTTTCACACTACTAAAAAAGGTCATATTTTTGACAAAAATATTTCGTTGCAAACGACGAAAATTTCATCGAAATACGTTTTGTTGAAAGGCGATAGAAGTTTCTATCCGTTGAAAATTTTGCTTTTCCATCAAAAAGTAAAGCATTAACATAATATTTATTTAATGAATACTGTCAAAAATTTTGTTGTTGATTAATGAAACGGGATGAGGTTTGATGCAGATTGATGACATAATTTTTGTAAAAAAATTATGTCAAAAATTTTTGATTGAAAAACAAATTCCGCTGAAATATATTAATGGAAATATTTTCCATTGAAACTTTCAACAGAATTTAGATCTCGTTAAGAATTTTAACATAATTTTTTTCTGTAAAAATTTTCTGTTAATGATTATGACCAAGTCTCGTTCCATTTTTAATTTCGTCTTTAGTTTCGACAAAAAAAAGTTTTCTTCTCTATTTTCGACGAAATATGATTTTTTTCAAAAATTTCGTCACTATTTTTTATGGAATATTGTTCGTCACAAAATTCCATCGATATTTGAGACTTTTCTAGTAGTGTGACATTTAAAAAATGATTCACACTTATATAGTTTTCGCATTTTAATGCTAAAGGTAGATATGTAATTTCTAATTTTTTTTCTCCTCAAACTCTTATATTGGGGGAACTTTAATTTTAAGAGTGAGAAGAGTTTTGGAGGATTTTACAAAAATCTTCAATTTCTTTCCACCATTTTTTAAACTCACAAATAAGAGAAATATAAATAAAATCCTCTCATTCCTTCCTTTTCCCTCTAAAAGTGACTCCAAAACAAGTGTGGCTAAGTCAACATCTCCTATACATTCTAGCGGCCATGAAAGGCTTAAGGGGGTGTTTGGTTGGAGGATTTTGGAGAGATAGATGGGGAAATGGAGAAGTGGGTTTGCATGATGTCCTTGTTTGGTTGAGTGGTTTGACATATTTATCTACCTAAGTGATTATACCATCTAACCCATTTGCATGTTTTTCTCATGGAGATAGCCAGCCATTGATTCCCAAATCAGAGGTGGTATTGCAAGATATCAACTTATGTGGTTTCACTGTGCACTTATCATTTGACGAGCATACCCACAAGATTCAGAGCCAGAACACAATGGTTACAGACATGTTGGTTCTGCTGGTGTTCATAACCAGAAGACTCATGAACCCCCCTTGGTCAACCAATCAAGAGGACAAGCTTATCAACCTTACCAATTACCCGAAAAATATGCTGCATCTACTCAAATAGTGCCTCAGGTACCATGGAAGCCTTCTGTTCCTGCCCCAAATCCAACACTTGTGGTTAAGCAAGAGATAATCCTTGGGAAGCCATTTGAGGATGTGAAATTGTTCTATACACTTGGGAAAGAATTGGGTAGAGGGCAATTTGGGGTAACACATCTATGCATTGAGAATTCAACTGGGTTGCAATATGCTTGCAAGTCCATTTCAAAGAGGAAACTTGTTAGCAAATCTGATAAGGAGGATATAAAATATGGTCGTTGCCAGTTCCAACTCTGTTTTACATATGGTCATTGGGGCTGACAGGGTTATTTGAACTCTTTTTTCGTTGTTGGATTCATTTCAACTTTTAATACAGGGATATTTTTGTAATATCATATTTTTTCCCCATCTATATTTTACCTACAACCAAACATAGATTTTATAAATGTTACCTGATTTCCTCGGTTAAATTTTTTACAACCAAACAACTTTTTTTACATTTTCCTACCAAACTTACTTTCCCTCCCATTTTCCTATCAATCACATTTTCCTATTATTCTAAAAATTTCTCCTCAACCAAACATCCCCTAAAATCTTATCAAAGTTCAAAATGAAGAGCCTCAAGTGATAAACTGAAGGTTCCAAGTCATCAAGTGTAGAAATGAAGTTCAACATTTGGTATGTCCTATGTTGTGGTATGTTATCGCATTGGTGTTGTTCCAGTGGGATTTGAATCTTATGCTCCAAGATCAAACTTGTCATGTGATATCTTGTACGATTGAATGATTTTATGTATGCCTAGTATTCATTCATGTACCATCTTAAAAATATGGTGGGGGGTATTACACAAATGACTTAAAAAATATTTAAATTTATATTTTTGTATTCTCCAACATATTTATCTCATCAGGGGTCTTTTAGTGTCACCAAGACAAAAATTACAATCTAAATTTGTGGTGTAATTTAAAAATAGAGTAAATACCCTTTTGGGTCCCTAATAAAAAATATGGTCCCCACTTTAGTCTCTTACAAAAATAAATTAGTCAGTTAGTCCTTAACAAATTTAAAGTGGACCCATTTTAGTCATTTTGAGGGATTAATATGGGTCTTTTTTGAATTTGTGAGAGACCACGATTTTAACTAAACAGGTCCACCTTGAATTTGTTAGAGATTAACTGACTAATTTAATTTTGTAAGGGACTAAAATGGGAATCATATTTTTTGTTAGGGACCAAAAAAATATTTACTCTTAAAAATAAGAACTTATAAGTAATGAGTACCCTTTTAAACCTCTCTGTCTTTCTTTTTTAAAAGAATTTAAAGAAAGATTTATGTAAAGTTCAGTGAAGCCAAATAGTAAAATTCTCTTCATAATTTTTATCATAGAAATTTGATAAAATGGAACATGAACATAACGATGAGTCCCTAAATTTATACAAAATTGAACTTTGGCCCTACCAACCTTGCTGCTTTGCTGCCGCCCCCACGCCAACCGGGTTGGCCAGTTTATCGCAGGATTTAAAAGTTTCTCTTTCTTCTTCCTAATTGCCGACTCGGTGCTGACACGACGATGTGACTCAACGGGTTTTATTTTTATTATTAAAAATTATATATAACAATAATTTTTTTTTTCTGTAGCATATAATAACAATAAAATTTAATACGAACTAATAAACTATAAATTTGTATTGTATATCATTTTTTTTTATTAAAATTGAAAAGGGGGCTTTCTTGTTAGAAGCAAGAATGACTTAGATCCACGTATTACAATTGATTACGTAAGAAAAGGGGTAGTGACTGACTAGTGACATTGCAACCCGAGAAAGAAGAACGAGGCTCGAAACCAGAAACAGAGAAATAAATTTGATATCATAAGTTTATTATTATTGTTACAGTGAAAAAAAACGAGTGATATAAGCTTAATTATTTGCTTTGTTTAATTATATGTCATACATTATTAAAAGAATTAGTGAATATTCATGCCTTGCGTAAATTCTAGAGAAAGCATAAATATTAAAAGATAAAAGATGTTTAAAATTAAAACAAGAACACATATTTAGAGGGATAAACGAATGTAAAATCAAATAATCATCAGGTAAAAATACTTAAATTTAATATAGAAAGATAAATTGAATTTTTTATTTTTATTATAATAGTTAAATTAATTAAATATTATTTACCAAAAAAAAATTAATTAAATAATAAATAAATCTTTATTGTATACTTTTTACCAAAAAATAAATAAATAACTAGAGCTCCTTTTCAGCATATTTTTTAAAAAATATGCTTCTTTTATATTTATTTTTTTACCATTTACATTAAATACAAATGTTATTTTTTGTTATATTTATTTTTTATGCTTTACAATAAATGAAAGTTTAACATAATTTTATTTTATTCTATTTCTTTATGTTTTACAGTAAATGCAAATTTCATTTTTTTTTTGTTTTTTCTTAATGTTCAAAGTTTTCCGTTACTTTCTCTCTCATACTCTCTCTCCTCTCTTTATGTCTCATCCTTGGAATCAGAAGGAGAATGCTGTATATAAAGCAGTGAATGTTACCATTGGTTACCATTCTCCAATCTTCTACTTTCCCTGCTGTTTCTTCATACTCTGCATCTTTTCTTTCTTTTGTCACTCATTCAAACTCAGCACTTAAGAGAGATTCAGTGTTGTTTTTCTTACTCTCTTAGCTAGCTAGCTCCTTCTGTTGCAGAGAGTGAATATATATATAAAAAAAAAAAAAAAAAAACCATTTTAGTGTTGTGTTCTGTGAAAAGGGTGTTCTGTTTCTCATTGCAGAGAGTGAAAAATTGGAAGCCATTGAAACCCCACAATTCACAAAATGAAGTACGTGTTGGTGACTGGTGGAGTTGTTAGTGGCCTTGGCAAAGGTGTTACAGCTAGTAGTATTGGTTTGCTTCTCAAAGCTTGTGGACTTCGAGTTACTGCTATCAAAATTGGTGTGTTTTTTTTCTCTTCATTTTCTTTGTCTTTTCACTTCTATTTTATTTTATCTTTTGGAAAAAGCATGCATATTAGTAACTTTTCATCCAAAAAGCTTTGTATAGTTTTCTTGTCAAGATTTGTGTCTTGTTCTCTAGTTCTTTGGTTTCTTTTTCTTTTATTGTTTATTTTTAACCAAAACACCCCATCCCCTTTTTGTTCAAAGTTAAAACTCTCCTCAAATCATCTTAAGCAAGAATCTTTGAAATGGTTGATGAGGTTATTAGTCCTCTTTCTTACCTTATCCTCTTTGAAGGGTTACATTCTGATTTTTTTGTCTCACTGGTTTTTTTTTTTTTTTTTTTGTTATCTAGATCCTTATTTGAACACAGATGCTGGAACAATGTCCCCTTTTGAGCATGGAGAAGTGTTTGTGTTGGATGATGGTGGTGAGGTACACAACTTGCCCTGATTCACTAATTCATCATACATTTTGATTTTAAATGGCATGCCCAAAAAGGGCAAAAAATAAAGCATGTTATTTCAAGGGAAAAGAGAGAAAAGTATGGTGCCAACTTTCAACTTTATGCAAATTTTCTCAGAGAAGAAAATAAAATTGATCAAAAGCAGTGTCTTACAAAATTATGAATCTTGACTCTCTTTTTGTTCAAAGGTGGACCTGGATCTTGGAAACTATGAGCGCTTTATGGATATCAAGTTAACCCGAGATAATAACATAACTACTGGGAAAATTTACCAGGCAAGTTCTTTAGACTCCATTTCCCATATGATGGTCCTTCTCTATGAAAGTCTCTGAAGATCATTACAAATTTACAACAAACTCCTTGATCCCCAACTTTAACTTTTCATTTCCTGTTTTTCATTGCAGTCTGTCATTGATAAGGAGAGAAGAGGAGACTATTTGGGAAAAACTGTTCAGGTCTTGCTTAGTCAAATTGTACTACTTTTTTTGTTATGATAAAAAAAGTTTTTCATTTTTGGTCTTAATATTATTATGCTATTTTCATCTTTAGGTTGTCCCTCATATCACTGATGCTATTCAAGAGTGGATAGAAAGGGTGGCCCACATACCAGTTGATGGAAAAACAGGTCCAGCTGATGTATGTGTCATAGAATTGGGTGGAACCATAGGTACACTGTTTAAATTTAAAACATTCTTCAAACTTCATGGTTAGATTGTTTCCATGGTTTATGTAAATTTATAAGAATATCTCTGGATGATGCAGGAGATATTGAGTCCATGCCATTTATTCAGGCATTAGGACAATTCTCATACAGAGTAGGTGAGAATACTCGATTTAATGATAAGCTTTGTCTTTGGTGAATATGTGATGTATAAATCGATGTTCATTATTTTTTGTTGTTACATTATGCTCATTTGCAGGTGCTAGCAACTTTTGCCTTGTTCATGTTAGCCTTGTTCCTGTTTTAAATGTTGTTGGTGAACAGGTACTGTCTAATAAACTCTGAATGCCCGCCGTGAGATCCATGTAGAAAATGATTTACTTTCATCTAACATGAAAAATTAACTTTGTAATGTTTAGAAAACAAAACCAACCCAGCATAGTGTTCGAGGGCTACGAGGCCAAGGGCTAACTCCACATATCTTAGCATGCCGGAGCACAATGGTAGCTCTCCCCCTCTCTCTCCTACAATTTGAACAATTGTGCATGGATCTTACACACAACACACAAGCACGTACCAATAGATGCACAAAATGAGCACAAATACATATATTTGCATAATACAGTTCTTAACTGTAAACTTTTAATTTAGAGTTCTAACACTCATTTGTTTATCAGGTACTGGATGAGAATGCAAAAGCAAAACTCTCTCAATTTTGCCTACTTCCGGTATGAGATTTTAAGGATAACTATATTTTGGTGTGTATTACTTTAAATGATTGTCGATGTTTTGCAAGAGTTTTCCTACTAAAGCTTCATATTTCCAGGCAGAAAACATTCTTACTCTTTATGATGTTCCCAACATCTGGCACATTCCTTTGCTTTTAAGAGTAAGTTTTCCTCTAAAACTTCTTAACTCAAATAATCTTATTTGTAGGTACCATTTCTTACAAATTATCTTCTTCTGGTCTATAGGAGCAGAAGGCTCATGAAGCATTATTTAAAGTGCTGAACCTTGATGGGTTAGTCTTCCAAACTCACTCAATATTTGTTCTATTTCATGGACTTGACTTAACGGATAAAGAGAATTTTCAATCCTTTTCGATTTTTCTGGAAGGTGGAAATGATGGTTTGTAAATGGTGGTTTATTGTATATACAGTGTAGCTCAAGAGCCTAATTTGGAGGAATGGACTTGTAGAGCTGAAGCTAGTGATTTACTTCATGAACCAGTGAGATGCTATTCCAAAGCTAAACTTAATTATATTATCAATTATTATTGGCAATAGTTATAATTTTGTTTCTTACAAATGGCAGGTTCGTATTGCCGTAGTGGGGAAATATACATGCCTTTCAGATTCCTACCTCTCTGTTATAAAGGTGGAGTAAGCTTTAACTTGATGGCTGCATTAGTATTATAATTTCTGTCTCCTTCATAAAGTACATGTACCTATGTTTTTTTGTTGACCTTCAATTTCATCTCATGTAAGAATTTATCTCCACTATGTCTGAACATTATATAGCTTAAGGACATTAGAATGATTTTGTCACCTTTAATATTTACTTCAGGCCTTAGTGCATGCTTCTGTTGATTGCCAAAAGAAACTTTTTGTGGACTGGATTCCAGCAAGCAATCTTGAAGACGCAACTGCGAAAGAGGTAATATCGATTTTGATTCATTACATTACAGGCAAGATCTTTTAATTATTTTTCATATTAGCAACTTCATCTATATGTTCTTGTTCAATGTTGCAGAATCCTGATGCTTATAAGGCTGCATGGAAGTTGTTGAAGGTTTCATTTACACTCTTGAAATAAACCAGTTGTTATAGTTATCAACTTCTCTCTTTAGTTCCATGAACTTTCTAAGTTTATTATCTAACTTGTATGTACCTTCAGGGTGCTGATGGTGTTCTTGTTCCTGGAGGATTTGGGGATAGAGGAGTGCAAGGAAAAATAATTGCAGCTAAATATGCACGTGAAAACAGAATTCCATTCCTTGGCATTTGTCTTGGAATGCAAATTGCTGTCATAGAGTTTGCACGTTCTGTTCTTGGTGTACAAGATGCTAATAGCACTGAATTTGATCCAAATACCAAAAGTCCTTATGTCATATTTATGCCTGAGGTGTCTATACTTGTGTTTATCTCATTCTAATGTAATGCTTAGAAAAATAATTTAGACAGAAAGTGTCTTTTTTTATTTTTCTGTTTCTGATTTCTTTGAACTTTGGCGTATAGGGATCAAAGACACATATGGGGGGCACCATGCGTCTTGGATCTAGGAGGACATATTTCCAGGTCAAGGAATGCAAATCTGCAAAATTGTAAGTATTATCATTCCATTCAATTTTTTTGAGGACACATTTTGTGCTTATGCAGTAATATGAGAGTACTGATTTGTGTTTCAGCGCATGACTGCACTATAAATTATTTGGCATGAAAGCATCTAGTTGTATAATTCATTTCCTCTCTATAATATTTTTCCCTTTTATTTATCTAGTTTTTTTTTTTTTTCTCTTATCTATCTTTTTATCACTTTATTTTTTATTTTTTTTGTATTTTTATCTTTTAAGTTTCAGTTTTCAACTTTTTGTTTTGTTTTATTAATTTCATTATTTATTTATTTATTTTCCCCATTTTTTCCCTCAATCTTTACTTGTTATTCATTTGGGTTGATTGATCACATATCCTGACTAAATTGTGATAAAGGTAGGTGGTGTGGTGTTGATGTTGATGTTAACATAGATTAAAATATACTTTTTAATGTATGAGGTTTATTAGGTTTCTAACCCTTTGATCCTGCCTCTTAGATATGGCGGCAAAAGCTATATTGATGAGAGACATCGGCACAGATATGAGGTATGTTGCATTGTCATGCATAAAATTATCTTTTAAATTTGAATGGAACAGAAAATGATGTTGTCATATATATGCAGGTGAATCCTGAATTGGTAGCTCGTCTTGAAAATGCTGGTCTTTCTTTTACTGGGAAGGATGAAACTGGTCAAAGAATGGAGGTATAGACATTGTCATGGAGCTTTTTGAATTATTATAAGTGTATGCTTTGTACTTCTGAATTGTTTATTTGTTTGTTCATGTAACAGATTCTTGAGCTACCCAATCATCCTTATTTTATTGGTGTTCAATTCCATCCTGAATTTAAATCAAGACCATGGAAACCTTCTCCGTTGTTCTTAGGTACTTCTTTTGATACATGTCTGCATTTTATATCCAAAGTTGACTATAATTTATCATCTTAATATTCCAGATGAATTTTTAAGTTAATGAGATGTAATTATGTAGCGCATGGTACACTGAATCTGTTTCTTAGAATTGCTTTTCATGTATTCTCATGCCTGTTTACCTTGCAGTATCCTATTTATTTGATATACTTGCTTCATACTATATGAAATACCAACAGCACAACTTTGATGCATACCAGAGATTCATTCTAGTCACAAAAACAGAGATACAAAAGAAGAAGAAAAAAAAAATACCGGATAAAGTAACCATCACTAATGCCAATTCTGGTATGTGCTAGTTAATTTTGAATTAAAATATATGTACTTAGAAGGAAATATTATAAAAAATCTAAACTTGGGGCTGTTGACAATGACATTTTCATACCAAAGTATCAGGCATGCGTTGCAGAAGCAATCTTAGTTTTCTGCTTGAGCAGTCCTTAATTTGTTCTTGTTACTGATTGTGTTTAGTAGCGGATGATACACTTTTAATTGTGAGACCATAAGTCTACAGCATAATGAGTATGCAAGGGTTCATAGTAAAATCACTTTGTCAAATGCAAGGATAAACACAATTTTAGATTCTGGAATGTAACTTGATTGTTTGATGATCATGTCAAATGCAGGGTTTATTGGAGCAGCATGTGGACAACTGGATGCTGTCTTACAACTCTCTTCAAATTGTGATAATAATAGCATCTCAAAAGGAGTAGGCAGTGATATCTCAGCAGTCAAAACATACCAAAATGGAACAGCAACAAAGCCAGCTTATAGGCCAGAATATGTATATGGCAGTTGCAATGGGTTGCATCTCTAAATGTTACTGGTCTTCATTTTGGGATTTTTAGGTTAATTGGTATATCTTGAGAGCTTTCAGTTGTCTAAGAGAACTTGTCTGTACAGTGAACTGAACCTTGGTAGGTATAGAGTTTTCAGAGGATACAAAGAAGAGCTTGATCCCGGTCTTTTTAATGGGGCAGCTCATTTAATTTTATAATGGTTTTTGAGTGGAAAACTCTCAAGCTTTCTTTGTCTTATGTTTCACTGCAATGGTAAACTCTTGGTTTTGAAAAGATCTGATGCTGTCTATACAGAAATTCTCCTGGATTTCTACAATTTTATTTTTATTTAATGTAACGTGAATTTTCTTTTCACAATGTTCTAGGAGGCATTTTTTTATGGAAAAAACTATTCTTATGCTACATGTGATAAATTTTTCTCTTACACACCTTTCGATAACATTGTCACTTTTTCTTTTCTTTTCTTTTTATTTTTCAAGTGGTGGAGCCCACAAGTTTATTTCTATGACATGAGATAACTTATCTCCTTTAACATGAGATTAATAAAATTCTTTTTTTTATACCATGGTGGCACCGAGGATGTATTTAGTATAGTATTAATTATTTCCCCAAACATAAAACTTAGTTATTTCTCTCCAATGATACCACCACCCACAACGTGTATCATTAGATACAATCTCTCATTGTTGGTAGTATGGGTCATCCTTAATTGTATGGTAGTATGGGTCATCCATAGATTTGAGATTGTTATCAAATATTATGTCTAAGAATCATAATTTAGACTTCAGAGGGTAGCCAATCAACCTGTAGATGACAGGGACATGCCTACGATGGGCCTAATAATCCCTGTTTTGAATGAACTTGATGTAAGCATCATATAACCAAAAGTGGGCCCTTTTAAGTTAGAACCCATCACCATGTTGCAAAACATGGGGCAATGACATGCTCATTGATAAGTCTAAAGAATGGCTAAATTCCATGCCTCAAAACTCCATAAGCCATTGACATGAGTTGGCTAAAAAAATTATCATGAAAATTCTCCCCTCAAACAAGACTGTCCAAACCAGAAAGGAAATCACCTTTTTCATGCAGAGAGATGACGAAGCATTGATAGAAAAGTGCGGGAGTGGTTTAAAAATCTTTTGAAGAAGCGTCCAAACCATGGCTTAGCTCCTTGGGTCTTGCTGCAGACTTTTTATAGTAGTCTAAGCCCTCAAAATAGAACAATAACAGATGTTGTTACTAATGGTATTTTTATAACCAAGTCCTTTAATGAGGCTCATAGCTCTTGGAGCAAATGGCCCATAATTACTCCCAAATGGTCTACTGATAGGTCTGCACAAAGGAGAATGGCTAGAATGCATGAGGTAGATAACATTACAGCCTTCGCAGTCAAGGTTGAAGCCTTAACAACCTTGGTCAAAAATCAAAGTTAATTTATTGAAACCAAGTTGAAACAACCTTAATCCTACCCCTAATCCTAACCCGCTTTATAGAATCCCACTGATTCTTGTGTGTTTTGCAATGGTCCTCCTCACCTCTTTGGTAGTTGCCCATCCAACCTTAACTTTATTCTCTATATAGTTAACTACAATAAAAGTCAGAATAATTTTCATAGCAACTATAACCACGGGTGGAAACATAGTATTGGCTACCAATACACCCAAGGTGAGGGACAACAAGCTACTCCATTAAATTCTCAACCAAGACCACCATTTCTATTGAATTGTAAAGATTACAAAGTGAAAGAACTTAAGTTTTGCTGATAGCAAAGCACAAGGAAGCTCAATATGCAAGTACATTATGGAACATAGTGCAACAAGCCCTAAATGATAAAGGAAAGACAAGAGCAACATTCAAAATGCTTGAAGAGAATCCATATCACAAAGTCAACTCAAAAGTTAAAATTTTCAAGCTTAAAAAGAAGACTTAGAAGCTCAAAATATGAAGACAAAGGAACACAAGGCTAGATAGAAGCTCATATAGTTAGCAATATGTTTGTAAGTATAGAAACTTACAGAAAGAAGTCTATTGAGCTCTCTTGTCAAAATATACATACTTAGTTCACAAAAACATTATTATATGAACATACATAGTCCAATCATGTATACAAAGTCACACACACATGAAAAGTTATTATACGGAGTCTAGATATATTCATACATGTGTTAGAACATTATAGGAATCACTTAGAGTTGAACTGGATTGAGCATTGCATTGATTAGTGGTTCTGTTCTACAATTTATCTGAGTAATATAGGATATTTACTTGAGTAAATTATTTACTCGAGTAACAATTAGTGATTTACTAGAGTAAATGTTGACGAAAAATTTACTGGAGTTCATGATTTACTTGAGTAGATCTATTAAGAATGAATTAATGACTCAATTTTGAGTACAACGATCATAAAAAACTATATTCTTCATTAGACTTCTATATAAACCTATTCGTAGGGTACCTAGGCACGAATTAACAAGGATTAAAAAAAACACTAAGAATTCAAATTATTCAAGGATTTAAGCTCATTTTGCATATTTTGAGAGAAAGATCAATTATCTTATATTCTTCTTCTTTTCTTTCGATTTCTTTTTTTATTTGGATCGTAGAAAGGTTATTCTACATCTGTTTGAAGGAGTTTTGTTGTTGTAATTCGAATTGGTGAAGTAGAGTGATCCTATAGGTGTATAGATTGAGATAATGACCAAGATTAGTAAAAAATTATGACAGATGTAGGGCGCGCTCTGCGAGAGAGGAAGCTGAGTCCCAGATTTATTGGACTCAATCAGATCATGTGTAAGGTGAGACCAGTGGCATACCAGCTTGCCTTGCCTCCTCATCTATTCAATTTACATGATGCTTTTCATGTCTCTCAGCTCAAAAAGTATATTCAAGATCCATCACATATAGTGCAGTCAGATGACGTATAGATACAGCAAGATTTAAAGACTCATGTGAAGCCTTTGCGGATTCCGGATAGAGATGTGAAAAAGTTAAGAAAGAAGACCATTACTATGGTTAAAGTTCAGTGAGAAGGCAGAACGTCTGAAAAGTAAACTTGGGAGCGAGAGGAAGAGCTCTTATGGCAGTATCCTGAGTTTATGGACAGGTAATTCTCTAATTTTGTGGTCAAAATTCCTAGAAGGTGGGGTGAATATAATAACTCAAACATGTATAATGAGAAAATGGGAATTATCCATAATTAACAGAGATAAATCAAATAAGAAAATAGATTATGAGAATAAAGTCAAATTTCAGATAAAAGTGTAATTACAATAAGTTTTACGGTAAAATTGCAATCAGACAAAATAACCTGAAACTTTGAGGTAAATTAGTGATAACCTAATTTATGATGTTTATGAATGAATCACACATTAAAAAGATGTTAAGTCATGGCTAGTAGAAGATATTATAAAGAAAGGATAAGTTAGTTATTAAGTAGGTTGTTGTTTTGTTGACTTTTGGGGTCAAATATGATTAAGTGATTTAATTAAGCAAACTTAGTCATTTTCACTTCATCCTTTTCGTTGCTTTTCCTCCAAACCGCCAACCCCATTTTTAAGACCTTAAAAACTAGATTTTTATTGAGTGAATGAAAAGCTTTGGTTCTTGAAGCAAAATTACTTAGAATTGTGAGAGGAGTAAAACCCACCATACATTTTCCATTGAGAAGCATTGATGAGAAAGAAATTTAAGTTTAAAGTCTCGAGAGATTTTTTGTTGTGGTTTTGAGGGAGTTTCAAACCATAGAAGTTGGCAAAGGTTGTCTCTCATCATTCTAGTAAGTTTCATGGTGAGTAATACAACCTGTTTCATGTTCTTATGAAGATATATGAAATTTGGGATTTTGGATAAATAGTGTTGCAAAAATCCATGTTGTTGGATGGATTTTGATGGATTATTTTCATGTTTTAATGATACAGAGATGAGCCAAATGATGTTTTGATAGGAGAAAATCCATTGGAATCTTCCTCCTTTCAAGACCTAGTTTCTTGAAATACCATTAAAGAGGTAAGTTAGTGTTTAGGTATGAATGTAGATTTTCTAGCCATGAACTTTATATTTTGTGCGATTAATGAATTCTGAGCACATTTGCCATAGGTTTCTTGTGTGTAGTTGGTTGTGATTAAGATTATTACTGTAACAGCCTGTTACGTACCGGTAATGTTATCATTGCATATGGTATTAAGCGCAATTACAATCACAGTAATTGAGTTAATTAAATTACGGGTAAACTTTTTCTTTTATTACATCCTTATCTTTAAACATTAACCATTTTCGTAATCAATTAAAAACAACACCGTAATTGTAAATGCAAAACTCGCGGAAGCATAAAACTTATTCATTACAACCCCTCCAAGCAATACCATTAACTCAGGGTTGTAAATCACTTATTTTCAAAATTTGCACAGTGGTAATCGATTACCAAAGGTTACTGTAGAAGTCAGTAGCTCCAATAAGCTCCCCTGTTTTTGGGTAATCAATTACCTTGCCATAGGTAATCGATTACCTAGCCATAGGTAATCGATTACTGAACTAGGTAATCGATTATCTTTGCAAAAGTAATATATCATTTACAACTAAATTTACGACTTGTACAAGTACTAAAGTAGGCTCTAGGACCTTCCATCATGCATAATCTAATACAAATGTATCATTTACAATATTCACCATTTGTCTTTCCATTTACACATCATATGGCTTATTTACAACACTAAGTCTCCAAATGCCTCAAAACACAATGTGTGGCCATGGACAAGTCCCATGCTCACCAAAATACCAATATAAGTCAAGGCATATAATTGTACATCAATTACTAAAGACATAGAATATAGTCATGAACACCACAAAAGGATGGCAATATCAACATGCAATATGTTCATAACCTAAGTCCAAAATGAGAAACACTATGCTATGTGCATCAAATATAATCCTCCAAAATGCTATGCTCTCCATATGCACACCATGATCAACTCCTCCACTAAGCGGGCCTCTTTCCCGAAGATCCTCCATGCTCACTATAACCTGAAATGATGTCCCCAAACGCGGGGTGAGATATTGAAATATATCTCAGTAAACCAAGGGTACTAGAGGATCACTCCACCTCATGGCTCACTCAATGTGCATACAATGATCATCATATAAAATGCATAACATAGAAAATCACAACATCCTGGGCTCACATCCAAGAACATCCACACAAGGATTCCGTTCAAAGACCCCATCATATAACTCCTGGGATGCTTCCTGGTGCCTCTCCCATGGATGAGACGACCCCATGGCAAAACCCGACTGGAACTCCTCGAGAGACCTATCCAGTGGAAGTCCCATGTTTGGATTATCCTAGTACCGCTCCCAGAG